TATTTTTTTCGTTCTCTGATTTCACACTACCTAAGGCAACTCGGTCATCAATTTGCAAAGAAGCGGTCTTGAAGGATGATTTATTTGTAGATCAGATTTTTTATGAAACCCACCCCTCTTGACTCTTTAAATATTAATTTTAGACGCGAGTTTAGATAAATCAGATTTTGATTAGTCTGGGTAGTTTCAAAGTTGCATGTAAACATATATCTATCTTATATCTTTTGGAGTCTACAACTATATTATATAACAAAATAAAGTGTGGAGACACATATCTATCTTATACCTTGTGCAACCTCCAACTATATTATATAACAAAACCAAAAGATATACAGTATTAAATTTTTTCAATCTATTACATCACCTATGTGTATGTAAAAGTATTGCCTAATTTGTTCCTTTAAAGAAAAAACTGTATACATGGTCCATAAATAAATAAATAATAAAAACCTATTTAGTAGTATATTATGTCTGTAAAATTTAAGATATACTTTTAAATGAGTAATTAAAAAGACAAAAAAATGAAATTTTAAGTTTTTATTAGGATCTTGTATTGAGGGATCATACTATCCATTTGTAAGTTATATTAGTTCATTTAGTTATACAATTTGTTACCTCATAAAATAGGCTCATTTTCATTCTCTCTAATTTTTTTACTTTTGGAAGTTTGGCTTTTGCATATTCTTTTATTTATGTTTATTTCATCCGTCTCTTAAATGTTATATACTATATAATGTACAAAACTATGTCCATGTTTTTTTAATGTTGATCCCTACGTTATTGTACTTAATAAAGATAGGAAAGTTATTGTACTTAATAAAGATAGGAAAATTTACGTGCATATTCGTTATAGTTTCCGTTATTACGGCTCTACCGAATAGTTTTGGTTATTATCATCGTATCCATTTTGTTTATGTCAAAACGAAATTTTAAAAAAAAAACGACTTTACTTTATTCAGTTCTTGAACAACCGAAGTATTTTCGGTTGTTCAACAACTAAAAATACACCAATTTCAAATAACCATTAATTATTCTTCCATAACCGAAAAAAAATTTCTCTCTCTTGTGAGGTATTTTTTCTACCTCTCTGAAGTCATAGTTATTCGACAAAATCAAAGGGGAACAACTAGTTTGAGCCCCTAAATTTAGGAAAAATCTTAAAGATTATGAGATTAGAAGATTAGGAGAAATATTGTAGGGTATTTTCTCTCTACCTCTTTGGAGTCATGGTTATCTGATAAAATCAAGGGGAATAGCTAGTTTGAGCCCTAATTTAAGAGAAATCTCAATGATCATGAAGTTACCCGAAACAAAAAGATGCTCGTTGAAGGGGAGAGAGAGAGATTAAAAAAATCATTTTTATCTATGTAATGTAGAGAGAGAGTTAGAGAGAGGATACGCAGACCCATGAGAGAGAAAAAAAAGAACCAAAAATTTAAAATTTTATGTTATTCAACCACCGAAATTGCCCCTGTTTTCGGTTGTTGAACAACCGATAATACTTTGAATTCAGTTGTTCAACAACCAAAAAAGGGTAAAGTTGTTGTTTTTTTAAAAAAATTCATTTTGACATGAAAAAAACAGACACGGTAGTGATAACGGAAACAATTTGGTAGAGCCGTAATAATGTAAACTATCTATTTCCTCCCACATGGCAAAAAATATGCTATATTTATATTTTTTGATATCAAATTTTGGGGATGGAATATTTAAAATACCCATTTTGTTAACAATGCACGGAGGAAACAATAGCGAGAGAGAGACGATTTGACTTTCATGGAAAAAGATGTTCCAGACAATTCAAATAGTGAAATTGCATTTTGCTGATTTCTACTAGATGTAATCCAAACATTATACACTATATTTCAAGAAATGTCAATTCCAATAAATACCAATTCCAGGATACATTTGTCTACATG